TCGAATTTTTACTGTATTTTAAGAATGAAATTATTGTTTGAAAATTTTTAATTCTACGAATTTCTTTAATGTTTTTATCATAAACGTTCAAGGCTCTCACCTTATGAAAAAATACATTTTTTAATCTAAGTATTTTTATTTTTCATAAAATGGAGTGTTTTTTTAATATTCATATGGAATGACAAGCAGTTCGAAAAGGCCAGTTGCCTTACAGAAGGAACGGGGCCTTTCTACAGTAATGCTAATTTGGCAAATCTTTTGGCCACTGGTGAAGAATATTAAACACCGTTTTGCTAACTGATAACCAATATGATGGAAATGCTAGTATTTAGATAAAGTTGCGGAGTCTTCAAGTTTTTGTAAAGAATAAGTAAATTTTTAAATGTCTTCATAATAGTGATGAAAAATTTGAAATTGTATTATGAATGATGTTTTTCAAAATTTTTATTTTTTTTTAAAATGCCTTCCTTGAAAAACATAATTAAATAATATGAAAGTTGGCATCTTAAATTGTATTATAATAGAAATATTTTCATCAACAAAAATTTGAAAGAATTTTATTTGAACATTTAGTTTGTGAAAAAATTTGAACTTTTACTGTGTGGAAATTTCAAGAACTTTACAAAATTTCTTTGACATTCTTACCTCAGAACTCTAAAATATGCTATTGTTTAAAAATAATACAGTGTTAAGATTCATAATTCAATTCAAAATTTTATGACTTTCAATGAAATGTCAAAATATCAGTCAAGTTTTATGGTAATAATTTTTTGTTTAAAAAGAAATAAAAAGTAAATATGTTTTGTATTTTCACAATTATAACTTTTAACATTTTGCTGCTCTAAATGCTTGTTCTTCCACCCTGCTCACCCAACTTTTCTTTTGAAGGGGGGATATGTAAGATATAACAAAATATGATAGCTGTTTCAAAAAAATAATTGACGACCTCAAAATTAACATTCTAAATTTGGTAATCTGCCCCTAAATTCATCTCTTCTCACAGGTTCCAGACTTTTCTATCTTATGTAACGTTTTAATGCAGATGCCTCTCGTCCAATCAAATTAATTCTAAACCAAAACTGTGAACTGAAACTTCAGCCTTCTTGCTATGAAAGTACTATAATCTTTCCCTTTTCTGCGTTAGCTCTCCTGCTGGTAAGACGCGTTTTTACACCATGCTCTGCTTACTTAAGATGACGTCGTACTTCAAAATGGGAGTTATTCTATTCAAATATTATTAAGAAATATCTTGTCTGAAAAAGGATGATTTGATATGCATGGAAAGAATAAAGATTGTGATTTTTCAAGATATGTTGTGCTAAATTGCGTCATCATGCTTTCCACTCTGCCACCTTCAAACCACAGTTTCATTACAATAATATGGTGCAGCCGATTTTCGACCCTACAGGCGTGGAACTTCAGTGCAATTTATTTCAACTAATCTCACATCGTTTAACGAATGGATAAAATAAAAAAGGTAACTATTCATCTGAATTTCCAATCAAGCCACTGCGGTCTTCTCGGTCATCTACGCAGTATCTAAGTTCTTAAGAGTTCCACTGCTTCCATCTACGCATTTGAAATCATTACATGTATATGCACAAATAAGACTTTTTTATGACTTAAAATAGATTAATATCACATACAGTTCAAAAAATAATATTTAAAAACAATATAATTTTTTTTTTTAATTATATCAGAATGCACTATCAAATAACCATTTTTAAATAAAAGGATCTTTCCTAAATCTATAATTTATCTTGAGATGCAACTCCTTGTTAAAATCTAAAATATTTTATGAAATTTTATACACAATACATAAGAAAAGTAAAATTTTGAAAATTAAAAACCATGACTGAATCTTTATATGTCAATATATTTAGACTTTAATCAATAAAATTAAACTAAAATACTAAGGGGTATATGATTATGCTTTTGAATATATACAGTGGCAAAATATAAAACATTAAAATTACATAATCTTAAATAAAAAAATGCATGTCTGAATTTTAAATTCATCAACTAATATTAAAATTATTGTGCGCCATGCACAAGTTTTAAAATTAAATATATATATCTATCTATCTATATATATATATATAAATTTAAACAAATTAAATTTAAATTTTAACAAACACGTATAAAAGTAAAAAAGCAAATTTAAAGTCAAAATTAAAAAAAGCAAATTTAAAGCCAAAATTATGAAAAGCAAATTTAAAGCCAAAAAAAAATTTTTTTTTTTTTAAATATTAAAAAAAAATGTGTAAACATATAAAAGATTTAAAAGATTTAATTCTCAAACTAATCTACAATATCATTTAAATTCAGAAGCATAAGCAAATCAAGTGCAAAACCAATCCATGAAAATAAATTCACTAATTTAGCAAGTTAAAATTAATCCAAACAATTTTTTTAAAAATGCATAAATTAATGACTGTTGAGCAGGTAGGAGACAGACTTATCAAGGGGAAGTTGCCTCCAAACCTAACTCTCCAATCATTCAATTCGTGTTTCGTCATTCATGCAGGCAAGGGTAAAAGTCAAAACCAAAAGTAAAAAGTGAAGAATGTCCAAAAAGAAATACCAATAAAGTGGTACCCTTAGAAATTAGCATTTAAGAATTAAAATCTTAAAAGGAAAATACTAGAAAAGTAATAGAAAACATGTTTCATAGCCAAATAATCAGAATAAAAAATATATGTACTGAAATAGACGATTTAAAGGAAGAAATAATAAAGCTAATTAATGTTCAAGTTGATAACCAAGTACCACCAAAATTTATTAATTTATATATTAAAAAGGCAGGCATTAACTTTACTTTATAATTTTTTGGCTCTTTTTGATATGATAATATTACCTTAAACCTTAGCTGGAGGATAATGAAGGATAAAGAAGAGTAAAGAAATTATTTGTAAATTTTTATTGTAAATAAATTTGTAAATATGTATATTTAATCAATACTGGATTCTTTCCTTTTACTAATAAAGGGCCAACTCTTTTCAAAAGTCTCAATTATAGCCTGAATTGAGTGAAGATTTTTATCTTCTTCTAATTTTCCATACTTTAGCCAATATTTAGTTAAGTTTTGATATACCAGTTAAAATCAAGTTCATTAAACTTTCAATTTTTTCTTTCTTTAAATTTAACTTCTTTAAGGAATTTTTGGAAAATTACTGGGAATTTTTTACAGGTTTTTTAAGGTTTTTGGGAATTTTTAAGGACTTCGTTTCACAAAATTTTGGGAATTTTTTTGACATTTTAAATTTTGCTTTAAAACTTAAATTTTATAACATTTCATTTTTACTTAATTACTTTAATTATTTGCCTTGCAATATTTACACAATTTTTCAACAGAACACACATTTCACATTACAAACAGTTTACATTTATTAATTCACAATACCACTTAACTCTATTTTACTTCAAGCAAACTTACCTCTCTTGATTTTAACGATAAATAATTTATCGTTAAAATTAAAACTTGAATTACATACCTTTAGGATTTTAATTTAATTTTTTCTAGATTTTATTTTTATATATTTTAATATTAATGTTTGCAAAAAATTTTTAATATAACAAAGATAGCAGCTTGGCACTCAACTTTACCTACATAAGCGCCATCTATCTAATTAATTTGAAGAACACACTTATTTCTCTTTAAAAACACTTTTGCAGACCCCAACGCTCATTTAGTAGGTAAGTTAGAATTAAAACTTACTATTTACTTGCTTTAAGTATTTTTTAAACTTTTTTATGTAGTATTTAAGTATTTTCTAGATATGAAATTTTCTTTTTAAGTATATATTTGTTTTTTTTAAATTGTGAATTAGTTCTTTCTGTTTCTTATTGGTTTATATGGATTATGTCTAGTTCTTTTTTAGTTTCTTTTTATTGATATGCATATTCGTGTCGGGGAGGTTTCTGTAGACAAGGGTTTCTAAAATACATCTAGATTATTTTTTATAAGAAATTAATTTTTTAAAAAAGTTTAATTGAATACTTGACTTTACTTGCTTGTTTCTCAAAAGACTTCATTAGTATTTTCCTTTTAAAACTTTAATTCTTAAATGCTAATTTCTAAGGGTACCACTTTATTGGTATTTCTTTTTGGACATTCTTCACTTTTTACTTTTGGTTTTGACTTTTACCCTTGTCTGCATGAATGACGAAACACGAATTGAATGATAGGAGAGTTAGGTTGGAGGCAACTTTCCCCTTGATAAGTCTGTCTCCTACCTGCTCAACAGTCATTCACTTATGCATTTTTTAAAAAAAAATTGTTTGGATTAATTTTAATTTGCTAAATTAGTGAATTTATTTTCATGGATTGGTTTTGCACTTGATTTGCTTATGCTTCTGAATTTAAATGATATTGTAGATTAGTTCAAGAATTAAATCTTTTAAATCTTTTATATGTTTACACATTTTTTTAAATATTTTTTTTTTTAAATTTTTTTTTTTTTTTGGCTTTAAATTTGCTTTTTTTTAATTTTGGCTTTAAATTTGCTTTTTTTAATTTTGAACTTTAAATTGCTTTTACTTTTATACGTGTTGTTAAAATTTAAATTTAATTTGTTTAAATTTAAATTCATTCCTTGCAGCAATGGCACAAAGAATTATTTATTTTTAATTAAATTTGTATTTAAATTTAATTAAATTTTAATTAATTTAATTAAATAAATTTGTATTTAAATTTAATTAATTAATTTAAATTAAATTTATTTAATTAAATTCAATTTTTTTCTTATATATAATATATATATACATATATATTTAAATTTAAACAAATTAGCTCTATATATATAGATATATATATATCTATATATATATATCTCTCTATATCTCCTATATATATATATATATATATATATATATGAATAAACCAATCTTTCACTGTTAGAAGGAAAGACTGACCTAATTTTATTAGGAAGTGACATTCAGCAAATTTTACAATATAAAATGTAACTCATATCAAAACAGTTTATGATATATACACTTACATGCTGCCTGCAACTGCTGCACCTTTATTATTTAAAGCAATTTCCCATTTTAGTGTTGTACCAAATAAGCACTTCAGCCTATGTATTACAACACCAGATCCTACTGAAATATTATTCTCAATTTCTAGATAGACTGGAGACCCACTATTCTTATCATGGTATATCTAGAAAAAATTATTTTGAAAATATTTTAGCAATCATTAAGTAAGTAATCATTTTACATGCTTACTGTAAAAATGCATCTGATCATAAATTCACAAATTACACATACTAAAAATAATTCAAGAGAAAATTTTTCAAATAAATGATTTCAGCTTATGAAAAAAATTTTAAAACACAGAATCAGTAAAATTTCTACATATTGTACATATAATATATATACATCATGTATGTATAATATGTATAATATCACATATTATAGATGAATTTGAAATCTTATACTCTGTAGGTAATAAAATGATATACAACAGATGTCTTTATAGCATTATTATAACTCTTTCATAACCTAAAGTACACATATTAGAAAAATATCTTTTCTCATAGAAATATTATATTATGCCCCTTTCTGAAAACATAGTTTAAATACCATACTTTCAACATTAAACCTACAAATAATATAAATAAAAATTCATATTAGATGAAAAAAAGTTATCTGATAATATGAAGAGAAGGAAATTACCAAAACATTAGATGTCTTATCAACTTTCAGTGATGGTAAGTGTAATGCAGAACTCAAGTGAGTTGACTTTTCAGGAACAACTTTCTCTGGTGCAGCTGAAACTTTTTCAGGAGCCTTTAGAGGGAAAACAAAAGCTCTTATAAAACCTTTAATGCAAGATAATGTAAGAACAAATGCAAGAAGCAAGAATTCAGGCAAATCAGGAAATTAAAAATAATTTCTATTTTGATTCAATCTCTAGTATTTGAAAAATAGTAATTTTGATTTAAAATTTATAAAATTTTTCAGTTCCCATTAATTATTTTTTTAACTTTTATATGCAGATTCATATATTTTGTTTCAATTCCAGTTATAATATAACCTCCTTTGATTAATGTTTTTAACTACCTTCCTTCAGATTAAAAAAAAAAAAAAAAAAAAAAAAAAAAGGTTATAAATACAGGAAAAATAACAAAAGAATGCCATTAAAAATAAACTGTTTAACAAATGACTAATATTACATTTGAAGTCAAAATTCAATCTTAGAAATAAAATATTATCAATAATTTCAAGTTACGAATTGTATCTTTAAAGGTTCAAAATATATATAAAAATAGGAGGGGGGGAAACTCTCCACACTAATTTGAATCATAAGTACAGCATATACTCTCAAAACTAATTTAAGCTTCAATAGTCACTCTGTAAAGAATTAAAGACATTCCCTTTGCATTTGTCTCCAGGACCTCCAATCTGATTTCAGAATTTTTCAAGAAACTCTCACTTTAAGGAATCTTAATTTCTCTCCAATTTAAGTTTTTCATAGAAAAGCAAGATAGAAAATTGTCTGATAGCAATTCAGCAATACATGGAATTCTGACCATCAACAGGTGAAATCAGGTTTTGTAGAGACTTTGGCAAGACAGTCAGCAAAAAAATGCTGTGACTTCAGCATTACATAAATTAGCAACCTAGCAGATTTCTATAAATAAGGCATGCATGCATTATAATACATACACATAATGAAGTATATACGCATATAATTATGTGTATTATATACACATATGTGCACATATAATTATGTCTATTATATACACATATGTACATACATACATGCACACATATATAAAAGCACAAACATACATATATGCATTCATTCTTGAATCTGGCCCTAATAACAGAAAAGTACCAAAAACATTCAGTCAGAAACAAATCTGTGGGTGAAAAGGCACTCACTGTCTATCAAAAAAGTACAAAATGCAGGATGAACATGTTAATCAGAGACAAACAATTTGTGAGACTACAGCCAAATGCAAATGTATAATGTAGGAGATTACAAATAATACATCAGAGGTTACAAATAATAGCTACACATAAAATTAAAAAAAAAAATTGTTACAAGGACTATGATTTTAAACAAATATGTAAAATCACAACTTAATATTGTAATATCTTGTTATTTAATAAATAACTATATTTATTGTTGAAGTGGCAACAACACCATATTTGTATTATGTAACCGTTGCTCATCAACATGAGAAATTGTTTTCAAATTAAATTCTGAAGTTTTACGAGCTAGAAGTAGTATGAAAGTTTTGCCACTAAAGAATTTCTTCAAATAATCTATCTCCGTGAACTAGAAATAAAATTTATGTTCTACTAAGAAGATTGCCTGTTTTGTCAATTGTGCAAAATACATTACAGTCTTAATTAATTGGAGGTTCCACTGAGATACTGGAAATTAGGAGTGCAATTATCAATTTCGATGGTGCTGATCTCCTAATCCTAGAAATTTGCTGAATTTTTTAGAACAAGTTTGCTAATACCAATTGCTGAGTTTGTTTATTTCAAGGAGAAATGGATGTAAGAGGTCTGCTGTTTTAAAGCCAGATTTGAAGCGGATCATTCAAAGGTTATCTTCTGTGCTTCTATAACTTGCGTCCGAGCAAAAAATTGTCAAAAACAGGATACTGCTGATCTCCGAAGATAAGATTAACTCTTGGTTTCATAAAAAAGTGTTTATTGAATTTAAGTATTTCATTTCAGAATTCTATTTAAATAGTGTTAAGTTTTTGTGTGAAATAATTGATACTAAAAGTAGTAGGAGTAATTTATAATTGATATTTGTGGTAAAGAAGCATTTTAAAATTATTGTTTACGCTTTACTTTTATTTGTATTGAATTTTTATGTTGATAATTGATATGTGTAAGCCATCCATCAAACTGTCAAACTGATAAGCCATAATGTCAAACTGGCGTACTGTGATTTGATTATACTCCAGAATTGGCAAAGATTTTTTCTAAGTTCTCTCCATCCAGGCGTGTGGTAGATAGGAACATCATCCTGATGTATTACAGATCGTATATTGCAAAAAGTGTACTGCCAAACTGGCAAAAATTGCTTTGTTATCGCCAACCAGGCATGGAGATAGATAGTAAAATCGTCAAACTGATGTGGGCAAAATTCTATTGTATTGCCTAACTGGCAAAGGTGTTTATATAGTTATAGCTAATGAGGCTTGTGAATAGCGAGTTAAAACGTCAACTCGATGTAGTATTATATTACTTTGTGCCAACCTGGCAAAGTTGTTTAAATAATTTTCTCCAATTGGTTAGTGTAAATTTTGTATTTGAGAAATTAAGTCTCGCCAGAAATTATACAATTTTAATACAAGTACGATCTTTTAGATTCAATTTCAAAAGGAAGCCTAATAAAGGTAACTTGTGCCAACATGTCATTCTTAGCTAGGAGTAAAAACAGGATTTAAAAGTACTAGCAGAAGAGTTAGGTTTAACCACGAAACCTGAATTAAAGATTGCTCAGTTGCATAAATTGATTACTGAAAGTCCCGGTTATGATGAGGAGTTTACTCGAGAACTACTGGCTGCAATTAGAGAAGAAAGGAAAGAAAAGGAAAAAAAGACGAAGAGAAAGAGAAGGAAAGAGAAAAAAGAACGCAGAAAGAGAAAAAAGAGAAGAATACAAGAAGAAATAAAAGGAACGCGAACATGAGAAGAGAAGAGAAGGGAAGAAAGAACGCAAATAGAGAAGAGCGAATTAAGAGCCTTTTGAGCTACAGAAACTTGAGTTGGAAGCAATGGTCTGCAACAGCACAGCCTGGTAGAAACTACGCAGTTACCTAAGTGGCAGCCTTCAAAAATCAGAATTCCCGATGTCATGCCACGTTTCAACCATTAAAGAAGATGAAATAAGTTTATTTCTGGTGTTATTTGAGCGTCAAGCTAAAATTAATGAATATACCAGCTGAAAATCAAGTGACTCAATTTATTTCAGTTCGCTGTTTCCTGACATTGTTCAGCTTATTGCTAGAAAACTAGGACAGGATGTGAAAAAGCATGAACATGTAAAACTTTACTGTTACAGCGATTTAAATTGAGCGCGAAAAAATTCCAACTATTTAATAAACACCAAAAATTTACTGAAAGTACTTGGTATGATTTATACTATGAATTAAAGAAGTTATTTAGAAGAATGGCTTAACATGGATTAAAGCATTAAAACTTTTGAACAGCTAAAAGATCTCATGCTGGTTGATCAAATTAAAAAGCATACTTCTCCTGATTTCAAAGAACATTTTATGGATCAATGGACAAACATCATTTCACCTACTGAAATGGTTAAGAAAATTGAAGAATTTGAAAATGTGAGAAAAACAATAAAACCGAAATTTTCTGCCAATCAGACTGAGAAAATTAACAAAGGATCATTTAAACCACATTATGATAATTTTATGAAAAAAACAGAGCATAGACCTCATTTTAAGCATTCTGATAAATGGGATGATTCAAAATACCACAAAGATCACCAACAAAGAAGTCAATTTCAAAACAAGAACCAAGAAAATTTATATGACAAAAGATATCGACCATGTTGTCTCGAGTGTGGATCATACGAACATTTTAAGCCTCAGTGTCCTCGCTTAAAACCAAATGAAAAGGTAAATTGCGCATTTTCGAATGATGATTTGTTAAAGACGTATACAATTAGCGGTTTAGTTAATGGGTATGAAATGCATATTCTTTGAAACACAGGAGCCACAGTAGATGTTATATCTCGAAAATACATAGATAATGCAAAAATGGCTGGGTACAATATCTTTTAAATGACCATTTAGTATGTCTACCATTAGCTGAAGTTGAAATTAATTGTGAACTTGGTCATATAAAGACAAAGGCAGCTGTTGTTACAAATGATCCTGGCAGATATGTATTGGGTAACAAAACTGCTCAGTTGTTCAAAGATAAACAATTCTTAAATTTAGAAAGGATAAATGCGGTTTTGACACAATTTCAAGTAAACGATCTCGTGAAGGAGATCAAAGTAGAGACACCGAAATGGGGAAAAAAGAGGAACTGTCTGTTATTGAGACTGATGAAGATATTTTACCGAAAGCTGATGAGGAAGACAAAGAAATTAAGAAAATAATTAATGTTAATTCAAAGGAAGTAATTGAATTTCAGCATAAAAGCAGAGATCTAGCCTCATTGCTTAGCGAAGCTAAAAGTGAAAATTTCGGAAATGATTTCAAAGTAAAGGAGAACGGGCTGTTGAGGAAAAAGAAATTAGATAAAAATGGAAATGAAAGGGAATTTTTTGTTATTTCTGAAAAATATTGGGATCAGATGCAGAACTACACAACTTTGATGCAGAACCAAACAAATAATAGTGCTAAAACTCAGGGTAATTTGGTTAATACTCACCCTCCTAAAGGTCAAGCTTCTGTCAATGATTCACAAAAATCTGATAGACAATCTAAACGTTCCATCTCCTGATGTAAAAACTGAAGTTGGAAGTTGGCTCACTTTCTTTACCTGCTGATTCAACTTCTGTAGATAGTGTGTGTGATTATTCCCTTACAAGTTCCCCAGTTCCTTCTTCTCCAAAAGGAAGAGATGTGTTTGACAGTTTGTTAACAGCAGATAAAAGAGCTTCTGATAAAAGAACTCATGAAGGTGCTTCTAAAGTTAAGAAATTAAAAATACATTCAGAATCTATGCACACGTCAGAAAACTTAGCAAAGAAGCACAAACATGATAAAGGATTATCAAAGTTGCCACATTCAATGATACTGCAAGTAAGCAAGATAAGAACAAAAGTTCATCTTGCAAAGCAGCAAAAACTATCTGACAAGAAAAAACTGACAAAATTAAACGATTCTCAGCTAAAAGTTTTAGATGAATTGCCAAGTTCTGGAATTGATATGCAAGTCAAGGAGAAGTTTTCAAACAGACAAGAGCGAGTTGTTGAAGAAGTAAAACTGCCGCAAAAGCCTCTGTTACACTCACCCAATTTCAATAAGGAGTTTGTTTTGCAAACTGATGCTTCAAACTCTGGTATGGGTGTCATTTTAGCTCAAAAAGATGAACGAGACAATGAACATCCAGTATTACACCTCAATAAGAAGTTTACAGAAACTGAAAAAAAGTAGTCTACCACAGAAAAGGAATGTGGCGCCATAATATTTGCTGTAAAGAAACTTCAATGTTATTTAGACGCGCATACTAAATTCCTCATCATGACCGATCATAATCCCTTAGTTTGGCTCAAAAATAATGGCGAGTCTAAATCCACGACTTATGAGATAGGCACTAGTATTACAACCCTACAATTCCACGGTCGTTCATCGAAGTGATAAAAAACATAAAAATGTAGACGCATTAAGTTGCACTCCCTGGCCTGATTAAAGAATTTGTTTTCCTATATAGATAAAAAATCATTTTATTCTTTCCTCCCTTCCTTATTGTATATTATGTTGTATATGTACTATTTCAATTATGTATTGTGTTGATATTCTGTTTTGAAAACAAAAATTGTAAACTTTAATTTATAAAAATATAAAGTAAAGTTTATCTGGAGGGGGGAAGAGGCTGTAATATTTTATTATTTAACAAATAACTATATTTATTGTTGAAGTGGCAACACTATATTTGTATTATGTGACTGTTGCTCAGCAACGTGAAATTGTTTTAAAATTAGATTCTGAAGATTTACCAGCTAGGAGTACTATCTCCGTGAACTAGAAATAAAATTTATGTTCTACTAAGAAGATTGTCTGTTTTGTCAATTACTGCAAAATACATTACAATATTATCCATAATCTCTTGCCCTAGACAAAATAGAAAAATTACATGATTCAATAAATCTCAACTCCTTCAGTGTCACGTGTATAGAAAAATCAGAACATTATATTAACAGCATGAAACAAACAATGTATGCAGTTAACAATGCATGCCAAGAGCAATTAATCTTATCTGAATATCACTTCTCAGAATTTGTATTCCTCTGCTGCCAACATTTTTTTTCCAAGAAAAGGATACTTTCAGCAAGATGTTACTCTAAATCAGAGCTTGATTGGTCACAGACGCTTTAAGAATGCAACAAAGTTTTTTTACATTTGAATTAACAACACAAATCCCTAAATCTAAATTATTTTCTGATTTATTTATTTTCAATCAAATTGTATTAATTCATATAAATAGTAAAGTCTTAAATTATACAAAAATATTTCATAAAAGTTTACTATTCATTTTTCCTAAGATTATTAATAAAATCAGCAGCTATTTAACAATATGTCTCACTTACAGATTTGGCAGCTTGTTGTGATTGTGAACCAGAACCAGGTGGACGACCAGGTTTTTTCTTTTCAGTTCGAACAACAGGCTGTGCTTCAGCTTTTCTCTTCTGCGAAGAAGAAACTGCTACCACATCAGATGTTGTACTTTTTGATGGCAAAGATGTTTCTTTTGTTTTAGTAACAGGAGTGCTGGAAGGAATTTCTTTGGGTTTCTCAGATCTACATTTTAAAAAGAACCATGTTACTTTATAGTATTAATGAAGCTAAGTAACTCCTTACATACATATACACTCATATGTGCAGTCTAGCTGTGAATCTACATAACATATAAATTTATTCCAAAAAGACAAAAATTTCAATACTATCAATTAAAAAAAAAAAAAAGTCTTGTTGATGACTATTAAATAAAAGGAGTCGCAACTCTTCATCTCATAATTTAGAACAGTATACAAATAAATTCAAAATTTCTGATTTTGCCTAGTCAAAAAATCATTTGGATAATAAATGTTTCTTGCAGACATATAGTGGCAACATTAAATGAATAAATTTGAAAGTTTTGTTTCTATTTATTTGTTTGTGATATTCTGGTTTGTTTTAAATTGTTTAAAATTCAATATCAGTCTACTATGAAATTTTTTTAGTAAATCTGAAAGAAATAAAACAACACCTATATCATGTGTATGGTTATCAGTTTCCTTCCTATTATACAATGAAAGAATGGCTAAAACAACAACTTTGTATCGGCCAAGAATGTATTGAAGATGACTCCCATGAAGTTTAGACCACTGGAGTCAGAAGCATCACAAAATACTCTCTCTGTCCAGAAAGACACATCAAGTGATAAGCGATTAAATGTCAAGCTGATAGCATCAAGATTGGTTGCATCCAAAACAACTGTTTTGTGCATTTTACATAAAAACCTTCACACGAAAAAAGTCTTACTAAGATGAGTACCTGATTTCTTTTAGCAATTCAAAAACAGCAATGCATTGTTTGCTGTAAGAAGTTGTTACAGCATTTCAAGGCAAATCAGAGAAATGTTTTTGATTAATTGTAGCTAATGATGAAACAATGGTCCTATACTATGATCCTCCACTATGGAGGAAATTAATGGAGTGTAGAAAATGGTAAGGCAACACCAAGAAAAGCAAAGGTGCAGCAATCATAGAAAAAGAAAACAGTCATATAAATCAAAGAGAAAAGGCATGAAACTGCATAAACTGAGTTATGCCTAGCCAGTATAGTATTTAGCGATACTGACTGCCATACTGATGTGCCCGGATCTGAATATCTGAATTACAGAGATAGCATGGATGTTTGTTAGTGTAAAGTATCTGTGTAGCAAAGGAGCATTCAAAATGGAATGACGAACTGAAAGACTTTATCAGAGGTTGATGATAAGCGAAGAGACATGGGAAACTCTAGGATCGCTACTCTCCCAAGGTGTTCTCCCTTAAAATTAGGACAGAAGCTTAACAGATAGCAAGGTTCAGCAACACCTCGATCATGTGTGGTCTAAAAAAATGTTGGCCTAACTATAAATTATGTAATGAAAAGGCAGGGAATGCTGAGCTGCAGAGTTCACCTGCTCCATGATCACATTCCTGTTTATTTGGCTGTTGCTGCTAAATAAAAATAGATTTAAGGAACTGGGCCATGTACTTTAAAGCTGAGATTTTATCTCCTAGATATTATTATTTTTTCTCCAAACTAAAATCTCACCTTTATGGGAAAAAGATTTAACAATGAAGATAATACGTAAAGAGCAGTTATGGAACATTTTAAGGAAAATCCTTCAAATTACTTTTCAAAGGGCATAAACAGTTGTTGCTCATTAAACAATTGCTTAAGATTATATTATTATTGAAAAATTACTTGTTAAAATTTCCTACATTTCTTTTAGAAGTACATCAGGCCAGAAACCTTTGGACCTACCTATGTATATTGAGGCATGCTGTGTATAAACCATGGATAGCATTTTATCTTCTTCCATTGGCCCAAAGAAGTCTGCATCTTCCAATGCCCCAATAGTGGCAGAGTGATTAAGACCACTGAATACAAACAGTTCAACTTGGGTTTCAACCCAGGTGAATAAGCAGATTGCATGGTTAGTTTTTACCATTTTCCTCAAATGCAACATAAATGCAAGCAGCAATTATGCATATATAAATTTACTACTGTGTGCTTACAACAGAAAATTATATCACTAGGAAATAGGGTCCATTATGACAAATAATATACTATATAAAAATTTATTCATGTACACACACACATTCATATACACAATAATAATTTGCAGAATGAATTTAGTTTTCACAGTACATCAAATAAAATGGAATATCGGATAATCAAAGGTCAGATAATCAAGACTTTTCAGGACCTAATTTTCTTCATCTCAAGGAACACATAGTATCACAGCGTCTTACACAATGATCATATCTCTAACTCTCAGATGATCTTTCAGTCCTTCAATATATGAAATTTATACTTATAAATTAACCTCATGTAGATTCTACAAAGCAACTGTCATCCATGATGCCTAATATAGCTAATTTTTCATGTCTTGAGCCATGCAATCGCAATCTCCCACAGGTTGTAATGAAAATGGTGTCTCAAGGTTATTTTTATAAAATTTCTTGAGTTTTCATTTATAATTAAATAAAACAGTAAACCCATAGGTAACTATTTGTTTTTAGGCTGTTTGGTTTGGTTTATGTGATTATGGCAAAGCCTCAAGGTGAATAAGCAGATTTACCTTGCTTATTCACCTTGAAGCGAAGGCATACTTCCTCTTAGGCTATGCCTTCACAGAGGACTTTCTAAGGAAAACTGGCTGTCATTCATGTTACACATGGGGAAAATCATGAAAACGGCCATGCAGCCAGCCTGTTCACGGTATTTAAACCTCAGACCGAATTACCAGTGTTCAACGACTTTACTGCTCAGCCGATGGTGGGCTGTTTTTAAGCCACATTAATTAATGTAATTGACTTGATAGACTAAATTCCATGTAATATGTTGAATTGGTATCATAGTGCCAATTGCATAGCCAATATATTTACGAAAATTATACTGTTCTGATAAATTACCAATAATTTTCTGATCTTCCATTTACATTCAAAAACCATTACAATACATTTTCTTATAAAACAGCAATATACGTGTAAATGAAACAGTCAGCCATGGTTAAGATTAATCATTTTTAATAAAGAATTAAGCTATAAAACAACAATTTAAAAGAAAGTTACCTCATACTTTAAAATGAAAAAACATGACAAAAGACAAAAATTAAATTAATATTTTTTAAATAAACTACAAAGTGCAAAAGGCAAAATTGGTTTTGAGCAATTCTAAAACCATATCTAGATATCAAAACATACAGAGAAATTCCAAAGAAGCTAATCAAGTAATCCTAATTGATATAGCTAAAAATACTATCAGCATTTAAACACATTAAACAATTAATTACAGCTTACATTTGTTCATTTTGAACAGGCGTTACGATTTCTGGTTTGTTTGTAGGCTCTTCCTAAAAAAAATATTTATTCAATGAGAAAAGCATATAATTTGTCATCAAAAAATAGTAAATAAGTTGTTTTGGTAGATATTTAATTTTAATATTTCATATTTACTGATACAACAACAAACAAGTCTGTTACTCTACTGATTTGTTACTTTATAACATCTTTTTCACATAAGGTCTAAAGTTATTTAACTCGTTGATGCCAGCCTGACCCACCAACTTGTCTGTTCTGTGGGGCACCATGACCCACCGGTGGGTTACGCTTTATTGTTCCACGGACCGGAATGACTCACCGATGGGTCATGCTTGTATACAAAAAAATACCTAGTACAAAATTTTATTTTAATTATTCAACAGTATACATTAACATTTCAACATTATAATCAAACATTCAATACAAAACAAATAACTGAAAAAGTAACTTTTAAATTAAATATAATTATTAATTTTTATTATGCAACTTTTTAAAGCAAGCTAAACAAAGTGTCGGCTTACCCTTACAATTATCGTAATATTTTGTTACTTTCTCTGCTCTATTCGTGGCCTTGTTTCAAAGCTCTCGCCCCACGAAATGGACTGCTAATTCAAGTGCAGCAGCATGAAAAGAACAATGAATATCTACACCGCCGACAAGGTGTTAAACAAAATGATTTTTTTGTGCATTTTTCTGTTTACTTCATTAACTTTTATGTTTTTTTTTTATCCTTAATGTTATGATCTATATAGCAACATATTTCATTTCATCAGGATAACTGAAGATAAGGTCAGAGATCTGGAGAGATTTTTTTCCAATACCTAACTAAATCAGTGGTTCTCAATTTTAGCAAGAGTTTCGGAAGTTAGTTTTAGAGAATGTCTGTCTTTTCCAGGCCAGATTGTGCTATGATTATTAGCAACTTGTGTTAGCGGCGTTCAGTGTTCTAGCCATTAGGCTTTGTCTTGCTGCTTTACTACAAACCAGAGCTCTTCCTGCATGCTAAAGTGTTCTGTGAGCCAGTAGGCTAATCTATCACACCTTGAAATTTTCTGTTTTGTTTCATGAAGCTAGAAGATAATTCTTTAATAGTAATTTTTAAAAGTCTAATTTGTATATCCCAAAGAGAGACTTTACAAACTGTGTGATCTGAAATTATAACTCTATCAAATGCAGTTGGTGGCGAAGGTTTTAATAACATGCAAATGGCTGACATCAAAGAATCATTAACAGCTGACTTAGTTCGCGAGGGCTTGAAATTTGCCACAAGTATGGAACAACACGTTCTTACTTATGATCTTGACATAGAGTGTACATTAAAATTTCAACGTAATCTTAAGTTTTGTGTAGCTAGATACCAAGAATTATATAAGCAACTTGATAAACAAAAAAACAGTCACTAAATAACAGACTTTGTAACAACAAAAAAATTCACACAGGCCATTCATAACGAACAAAATTCTTCATTTGAATCAGACCTGACAGTTGTGCTAGACATATCTGACATATCTACTGATGATAGCATTTTTAATCCAGTTCATAATAAATGTGCATGCTTCTTATCAAGTAGCAATAAAAAGTTGCAAAACTGTTTTTTTCCCCTTAATTTCAATTTCAATTTTTATATATACTTTTTTACTGAATTTCCATTGCACACTAATTTTATTTTAATTATTTATTTATTTATTTTGTAATAAAAATGAATTGTTTTTGCTTTATAAATATGTAATATGGATTTCATTATTACTTTTTGAATGTTTTGGGGGAAAATATTTAGAATTTTTTCATCTTAATGATTTTTTAAAGTTGTGGAAAATATCTCTAAATTTGCCATATGTCGCATGTATTTTTTTTTTTTTTTTTTGAGGGGCATGGTTTTCTAAGAAACGTATCTAACATGTTAAAAAAAAAAGAGTTTGGTGTATATTGTTTGAAATAAATAAACTACATATAGTTTGATTCTTGAATAAACACATATATGTATTATATTATAATAATTGTCATGGTAGAGAAATGTGATGAAACAGTTTGGAGATCTCTGTTATACAGAGTTTGGAGTAAAGCTTTATTAGTATTAGATCAGAATGTCAAGACAATGGAGGCTAGTATTTGTCCCTTGATAAAAGTACAACTAAAAACTTCTATAATTGAAAATTTATCCCATTCATACCACTAATTACCCAAAATGAAATCAGTAATAACTACCCAAAATGAAATCAGTAATAAAAGAAACTCTATAATATGATAATAAAGCCTCTTTCATATGTACTAAGCAGACACACACACATATTACATATATTAAACTGACAGAAATCTACCTTGCATTATCTCTGAATTTTTTAGATATGAAATCTCTTTTAAAGTAAAAAATCACTAAGTAACTCTGCCTTCCCCAATTACCTACTTCTATAATACAATTACTTACATTAACTTATTTTTATGAAAATATGTTGAATATTCAATTTTTATGGAAATACATTACATGGAAATAAAGATTGTTCAAACTTACTACTAGTAGAGAAATTAGAAAAATAATTGCAAACTAGCATTAAGAATTACTTATAAAATATCAAAAACTTACCTGTATTACTTTACGCTCAGATGGTATATTGACAGATGCATTAGTAATGGGCTTAACTAATGTTACATTCGATGTCACAGGTATGCAGTTTGAAGTACTTGATATGACTGAAGTTTTAATAGATGTAGCACATACACTGACACCATTAATGTTATTTGTAACAATACTGTTACTTGTAACTACAGATGCAGGTGAACATGTAGTAGTAGTAATAGATGTAGTTAAAGTTGCTGGAAATGAATTGATGACAGCAGATGAATTTTCATTTTTAGCTGTAGAATGTTGACTAGAAGCTTCACATGATTCATCACGCTTTTCAATAACTATTTTACTTTTACTTTCTGAGGAAGAACTGAAAGTAGGTGGGGCTCGTGCATTAAAAGGAGTAGGCACTTCTCTAAAGAAATAATTATTAAAATTAGTTAAATTATAATGTAAAATATATCTAGATTAATGATTTACATCTATTTTTAATTTAATATTATGGCAAAAACTTAAGTGGACATTTCACAGCTTTTCTGCATTTTAAATCAGTTACATGACAACAATCAATATGGCATTTCTTTTTCATATATAAATTTAAAGAACTCTGTTCTGATCAATTAGGATTTACCTCAAGTCATTTACTGCTTTTGACTACATGGTTCTCTTTAAATGAAAAAAAAAAAATAATAATAATAATAGTTTTAAGCACTATTTTGATAAGAATAGTGTAAGTATCATCAAACATCTCTAATTTACTATTTCTCACCTAAAAGCTCAGTATCAAAAAGGCAAACTGAAATATTTTAATATTAAAAAAATATTGTAAATAAGTAAGTCATGACTACATATATAAGAAAATATACTCAATATAGTTTTCACCTTTAAAATATGAAAAATCAGGAGGTTTTCAGACATCATCACGATTCCAAAAGGATTCCTTTTATATCACGTCCACAAAAAAATTAAGTTGATTTATAATGTATAATTCAGACCCTGAATATAATACAATTTTAATGGAATATATATTTAATGCATTGTTCTAACTTTTGAGTTTTTCTTAATGCTTCTGGGTTAATTGCAATTAATTTCCACATTCTGTTAATATTTTACATTGTTGAAAATCCAAACAGGTTTAAAAAAAAAAAACCTTTCATGTATTATCAAAGTATTTTACAAGTGATGAAAATAAAGATTAATAATTATATATATATAATCGCTTACATAAGCTTGATTATGCACCATTTATATATTTAAAACAATTTATTTATTGACCTATATATGAAAACACGTATAGAAAAATACATATAATCATGGATTTATTACTAGCCTTGATAAAAAAAAATAATTTTAATCTGCCATATGTAAATTAACACTACATAAAAATATTTACCCAATATCAGGAGGAGGTGGAATAAATAATGGCGTTATCCTTCTTCTCCCATCTGCTAATCGTGTTTCAATTTGTTTATCTGTCGGACCCTAGACATACATTAAAAGAAATAGATAAAAACATAAAATGTATTACTCTGAAACTTTTAAATACAGGTACATTACAAAATATATTAATGCAACGTTTAAAAGAATTAATAGTTTTAATTTAATTCTCAACAAACTAAAAGGGGGGGAGAAGATTCATAAAAATGCATGAAATTCATACTGTCAAACTCAGGTCTTTTACAATGGACTTTTCAACAAGACGTGCACAGGCTTAGAAAATGCACATAAACTCATCAGTTAATGAAAAATGACCAAGATAACAAGAAACTGCATTTAAAAAAAATGCTTAAAAGGAAATGGAATCATCATATATATTTCCATGTTTAATGAACTATATTATTCTCACTATTTTTTAATAATAACAATGAATTAATATACTTTTAAAAGATATTGAAAAATGCCAACAAAATGCAATTTCTTATTACTTTGTTAAATCATAACTGCATAGAATGATGTAATATTTTTTGTGATTTTAAGTCCCCTTTCCTTAGAAAAGTAACTTAGATGGCATTAAAATAAACATAAGTACCTAACAGATAAGATTATGTAGAGACCATATCAAAAAGGAAACTTTGGGGGGAGGCATAGAATGGGCTGGATTTATCAATTAAAACAAAACTTCAGAGCAAGGAATACCTTTCCTTTGACAAATAGCTCTCATGTGCTCTGCCTTAACTAATAGACTCACTTATGGGAAAAACTATAAAAATCCCACATAATTTCTTTACCTATTAGGAATACAAACCAGGACATATTATTGGCATTTTATAATTTCAGTTATTCAGCCACCACAACTTATTAAGCACAATTACTGCTCATTAACTGTAAATTTACTATAATTAACTAAAATAAGCCAAACAACACTGGGATCAGGAAAAACTGCATGAAGTACTGGAAAATTTCAGAGCTCAAATACATACATTATAAAAAGTACTAATAAAATGGTAAACCCCAAATAAAATCTCAAAATTCTAATACAGTACAAAGTCTGAGATCTGGATGTCCAATATCAGGAATGATCTAAAATCTGGACCTTAAAACCACCAACAAACGTGTTTTTTTTTTATATGGCTTACGCATGCACACTTGATTTTTTCCCCCTATAATAATTACAACTTTTTAGCATAAATTTGTGTGATCAATAATTTGGCTCCGTCGCTGTGTATCTGCTTGGCATACATCTCAAACCAAAACATTCTACATAGAAACATAGTTGATTTTATACTACTAATATTTTATATTCCTAACGACAACATGGCGAATCATTATTTATTATATTTTGCTTCCATCACCGCGTGTTTATCAGCATATGACAACTTGAGTAATGGCTCATGCAGAGATGCCTAAACAATTTTTTATATTAGTAATTGAATAACAAAGAGTATGGTAACCATTTATGTTGATATTACGCTTGGCGATGATTAAAGTTAAATGCTCTAAGAAATGTTTATGAGGAAAAATTTTAAAAAAATTTCTTTCCATATGTTAAAAATAGATTTTATTCATGATGCTCATAAACCAAAAGACTACATTTAGTGCCATTTGAATTAAGATTGATTTGTTTTCATTTAAACCCAGAACCGGCACTAGAGCTCCAATTGCAAATTAAGGGAAGACAAAATTTTTGGAATTAGGAGAAGCACCGAGCAACAAAATTAATGGATGAGGAAATTTTTAGAATTTAGGGAAAGCACTGGGACACGAAATTTACGGACGGGAAAAATTTAGAACTTAGGGGGGCGCTTGGTAGCAGAATTTGGGACACGCAGAGACTGCATCAGGAAATAAGATATCTAGCACCAGCCCTCGATAAGCCTTCAGTATAGAGTATATGTGGAAATTTATTTTTTCAAGACTCAGATAAGCATGTGTAAGAAATAGACGTACATATAATAAATAACTAAACTAATACAATTCAAGCTTAATTGTTTCTGTGCCTGATAGAAGCAAGTCAAAATTTAGCGGAACAATTTGTCTTCCACCACCAATCTCATGATACATAGCCAATAATGTACAGCAGATGCTATTAAGCTAGGCTAAAATTATATTTTACTGATTCCAAGGAGTTTGAATTAATATAGTGCATAGCACTGTTCCTTAACTTTCTGAATTGATCCAGCTCATTATTTTTTGCAGGTTGTTATTAATACAGCACTTTTGTGAAAATTAAAGTTTGAACTTTCGATTATGCCGAAATAATTCTGGAGCTGCAACAGAATCTAAAAAGTGACAGCATGCTTCGATGTTCATTAAACAAAGAGTGGAACTACTGCAAAAAATGGATAAACGTACATTTGTCTCAAAATTTCGAGGAGTACGGCACCGGAAAATCAACTGTATATGACATAAGAAAACAGAAAAGGAACTTTTTGAATTTCTGGGGGATTCTGACACCCCCACTCGCAATGAAAACAGGAAAAATTTAATAAATTAAATTGAAAACTTATTCATTAAGCTAAACGTGATGGTCAGACAGCATCGCAGCGAGGACATGCCATTGATGGGTCCAATGTTAATGGCTGAAGTCAAAATATTTCATGAAGAAATGAACTTAAAAAATGAATGCACATATTCAACAGGTTGCTTAATCGAATTTAAAAATCGCCATGGTAAAAGGCAATTAAAACTTTCAGGTCAGCTGATACTGAAGCTGTTGAACTATTTGCATATGAATTCCTTTAACTCATTAATAATGTAAACCAGCTTAAAATGGTCTTTTCTGACCACAAACTGGTACCAAGAAACACCTTGGCAACTTCTACAGGGAAGGCTCTAGCTGTAGTCAAAGATTCCAAAGCGAGACTGGCTAATCTTTGGAATATGGTAACTGGTAGTTTGGCAACATTTTGGAGGCGATAAAGGTTACTACCTAGGACTTTGGTAATAATGTGAGAAGTACTCAGTTCTGGATTACGCGTTTGTGTGAGGGGAAATGAGAGATCATGAGATATGGCATGTGACATTAATGGACAAATAAATTACAGTTCTTTAATCGGAAAAGGGGATAAATTTGGAAAAACATCTGCAGTACTATAGCTGCAGTATTAAGCTTCATTGTGTGTTGTGTGAAATAGTGGAAGTGTGGTGTACCCGTAATGAAGATTCTGAAGATAGGTAGTTAGTATTTTATGCATTGTTCTAATGTAAGAGTAATAAATAATATGATATTATTGGAAAATTGTTATTAGCAATGATTAGTTTAAAGTAATTAGGATGTAATTATTTTTTTAATTTAATGTATGTGCTTATTGTATATTTTAAGTAGTGTTTTTTAATTTAATTATATTTTAATTTAATGATCGGTGATTTGTGAGTTATATGTTTTGTAGGATTTGCAATCATTTGAGTAGAATACGTGAGTATTTTCATGGCTTTTCATTGAAATTTTTCTATTTATGAGAAAACAGCAGTGTATACATGGATTATAGTGACGAGATGCCATTGTTGTGCAATTAGGGGATATTTTTAGTAAAAATAAGTCGACGTTGTTAGCATGGTTTAGTGATATTTTAATAAATGATAGTTATTTGTGAATTTTATGTTTGTAGGAATTTAGTATACATTTACAGTTGAAATAAAGTGTAGGAAATATTTAAAATATTTGAAACTAAGTATTTGAACCATTTGTCATGTTTGCGGTAGAATTGTGTGACGTTAATAATATATAGATAATTTAGAAGGAAAAGTTTTGGATATTTTATTTATTTATACGTGGAAATGGCATCATTGAAAGGCGGATATACTTTTTCGCCGATCAGGTAAGTTCATATATGTGCTTTTTACCGAGTTTTAAGATCACAGAATTTTTTTGCATGTTCGCTGAAATTTTTTTAATATGAGAAACAATAGCAGTGTAGTGTAGATAGATAAAGTACGAGTGTGAGCAATGCCATTTTTGTGCAATTTGGATGTTTTTTTAAGTAAAATAAGTCGACTGTAATGGTTTATGGATGTGGCTATTCGAAAAAGCGCAAGAGTTTGGATTGTTCACTTTCCCCATTTTCAGTTAATATTTGTCTGATTAAGCAGTTGGTACATAATTCTAGATAGTTAATTCGGCTAGTAGATTTGAAAAGTGTCATAAATAAAAAGAAAAGAAACATGTCTTTACTTCGTGAAGACAAAATGGCGGCGAAAAAAAAAATAGAGGATTGCTGTAGCAGAGTTGGTCGCCAAATTTTCGGCAAAAAATCGCCAAGTTTCCATAATCCAAAGATCAACCGCGAGACTAACAATTTTAGCATGGACAAATGCTGCAGGAACGCACAAGTGGTAACTTTTCGTAATCGGAAAAAATACGTGACCTTGAGCATTTAAAGGAGTAAAGATTTTCCTTGTTATAGATCGTGCAAATAAAACAACATGGATGACACTAGCATTAATGAATGATTGGTTTGAAAATCATTTCATACCCAAAGCTCGGCAGTATTTGAATTCGGTTGGTTTACCTAATGACGCAAAAATTGCCCTGAATGTGTAAATAACTTTCTGGCTCACACTTCAATTACATTTTAGTGAAATATAATGTATCCATATTATTCTTTTCTCTAAACTGTATGTTCATCATTCAGCCTATGGATACCAGAATAGAGCACGCACTGAAATGGAAATATAAAACAGCATTTTTAAAATCCATGTTAAATTTCTTGCATAACAGCAAGGCTATTCAAGAATTTTTTAAATATTTTAGCATAAAATCTGCCATGTAGAGCATCACAATACCGTGGGAGGATGTGTCTCCAGGTACTTTAAAAAGTGCTTGGTATAGTTTATGGCCAGCTACCGTATGTCATGGTAGGAGGATGAAGATGGTAGCCGTGAATCTGAAGTTTTCGGATACCGCAAACCAAAGGTGAAATTTTCAAATTAATGGATTTCTTAAAGAAGTGCAGAGAAGTACTAATAAATGAAGATGATATAACAGAAATTTTTTATTGTGATTAAACCCCAAACATCAGTCAATTAATGGACGGCGAAATCTGTAGTATGGTTCTAGATCCAGAAAATACCGCTACCGATAGTGAAGAAGTAACAGAGAAGTTATTGAAAATGAAAAAATTTTCATTCACAACTTAATAAGAATGCTTGACACAGCAATTACAGAACTTGAACAATGGAAATTTGTAACTGAACAAGAAATTATGTCTGTCTATAGAATTAAAGAGAAAATATTAGCACAAAAAAAAAAACGAAACAATTTACATTGAAAGAAATGTTTACTAAAGTAAACAAATAAATATTAAGCATTCCTTTTTGCAAATTTTGATGACTTTTAGGTCATAAATGCTTCATAATTTCATAAATCAGATTTCATATTTTTAATTTATAATTTCTACGTGCCATCTTACTAGATTTAAACTGATGATCTAATATCCGGCAAAATCCCAAATCTGGAATTCCTGAAGTCCCGACGAGTTCGGATCTCAGACTTTGCACTGTAGTAAACACAAGCATTCTTCTGCACAAAAGATGGATTATTTCACAATGAACTTTCTCAAAAAAATATTAATTACAAAGTCCAAAAATTTCTATTTATCACTACAACTTTTCATGAATATTTGTAACATATCAAATGCATACTTTTTTTTTAAATTAAAAAAATAATATAACTTTTTTCTTCATAAAGGAGTAAAAAAACTCACAACTTAAAAAGAATCTGTATTTTGAAGAACCAAAAAATTCTGTGCCATACTGAATTGAAAGGAATTTTTAACTGAGCTTGAACTACTACTAAATTTTGATGGCATAATGCATTTAAATATTTGCAATATAAATATTCAAAAATGAGTCACTTTGATGAGTTGGAAAAAAAATAAATAAATAAATTAGCCGCGCTTCAATCTCTTCTTAACCCCTTAATGCAGCAATAAAAATTAAAAAAGTGGTTTTTATATCACCCAAATTTTTCAATTTTTTATTTTAACTTAACCTCCTTTAACCTCTTTCTTTATTTTAACTCAAAACTTTAGCAATGGAAACAGGTGAAATGTCATGCATTTTAAATTTAAAATAGTTACATCATTGCACAATATATAAAAGTTCAGTCAAAATATAATAGTCTGTATTCCTCTAAATCTAAGATAACCAGTTACTCATAAGTTTTAAAATGAATGAAATTTTCACAACTGAAGACTACAACTGAAGACTTCAAAGCAATAAATTTTTCCAAACTATTAATTTAAACAAGTACCATAATGTTATTTATAAATCAGAGATGTTTATTAAAAAGTATTTGCTAGATTTACTTTAGGGATTAATGATTTTATCTGGTTCAAATAAAAAGTGGTGTTTTTTTTTTTTTTTTTTTTTTTTTTTTTTTTTACACCAATTGTGATACATTGAAACTAAACTTTCTATTTCCTTGACTTAATCAAGAGTGACTGTGACCCCATTTCAGAAATCCTGAAAACTACTGTGAAATAAAAAGTCAACCCAATTTGAAATAATACAGAATACTAATGCTGTACACATACATACATATTTTCAAACAGTTTCATTAGTGAAACAAAAAGTATATATACTTTTACTAAAAACTAATTTATGTTTTCTTAAATCATTTCATACAGTTACCTACTTTTTTGGTTTCTCAACATTTCTGCAAATAATTTCAAAGTTTGGCTTGCTTTTTGGGGAGGCACGGCTGCATTTATATTTTTCATTGCTAACGATTTAAAGTTCAGTATGATCAGTGAGACTGTCTTATGCAAACAGTGGCTTTTCACTTAAATCTTCATGCATTAAATTAGAGCTTCAAGTATGCATATAAACAGATGTTAGAAATGAGGAACTGCTAAAATGAACAGAATTTTTCATGGAATGTTAAGAATTTTGATAGACCAGTTATTCACTTAGTTAACTCTTGAATTTTTACCAAAGAGATTTCTTCCCTAAAAGCTGTACATGTATGTGTAAAGAAAATAAATAATGCTTTAGTCTCTGCAACCAGGCAACCTCTGCTGAAGGATGTTCTGTTCTACATTCTTCACAATATCACTCACATAATTGAATGAACTTTCAATAAAGGGTCCATGAAAGAAAGTTAAAACAGACTTATATTTGTCGATATTTGGTATTTCCGTTTTCCATCTTCCCTCAGCCAAAAACTTAACAATATCAGTTTTTTTCTCTTTCTGTGCAAGTGTCTAAAGATATCTAATGTTTAGTGTTTACATAGCCTATGAATTTTCCTTTTATATAATCTCTGAATGATAAATTTTAACCAAAACAAAATTTAAGACAGATAATGAGTGAACATTTCACAAATCTAGAAATTCCGAAATTAAGAAAGTAAAAAATCCGGAATTCTGGGTACATCCAGACCATAATTTTCCCTGCTCAATTTTCAATGGCCATACGAAACAATTTCCCTGAGGAAACTTGATAAACTGCTGTCTATTCACATTAAGGGGATCCCTGCGATTCTTCTGCATTGGGGAAGGGGGATTTAATTCATTTGCAAAAAAGAACACTCAGTTCATCAAGATGAGTCAGTTTATATTATGCTTTGAAAAATCTTTCCACAATCTCTCATTTCTCACCTTATTTTTTTAATTCTTCATGACGCACAGGCAAACAAAAAAAAAAAAAAAGTGGTCACTATGATTTCAGCAAATTATAATGGAAGAATTCCAGTGTTTACATGAGAAGAGAAATCTTAAAAATATTACTTTGTTCTCTAAACTTGGAATCGTACTTTCCTGGCACACTTCTAATTGGTGGAGGGTTTGCAGCCATCAAGTGTGATTAGCAATAATTTCAAACATTTACTAAACACATAATACATTAAAAACATTATGAAATTCAATTTTATCTTACTCATTGTGAAACAAATGACAGAAATGCACATAGGAAATATGCATTTAAACCATTTCAAAAAATAGATTATGTTTTTAAAAGAAGTATCAGATACGGAAAAAGTTGCTCATTCTGGAGCAGAAACTTAAAACAATATATCACTCACTGTAAATATAACTCCCATGATGTTTCAAAATAACACAATTTGTTTGTTATTTGCTACTTACACTGAAATCAAAAATGTTTAATCAATATATACTTCGTTTATTTACAAAACAGAATAACACAGTATGACAGCTTTTAAATCATAGCATTTGTTTTTTAAATACAATCAAATTTCTATAGAGAAGAATTACAGAACGATTATATTTCTCAAGAGAAGCTCAATTAAAAGTGGAAAAAAATAGGTTAATAAAACTGCATCGGATATGAGGCGAATATGAGGTGAATAAAATACTTTGACGGGAAAAAACATTAAAGATTACAATAACCATTCATTTATTTTTAAATTTTTTTTAATTTAATTTGTTATTTTTTAAAAATTTTATTTTAAACTTTTAGATAGAAAACTAATCTTTACTTCTTTTCCCTTCCCCATTTTTTCAGGAAAAAGGAATGATTTTGAATGATTTTTTGTAAAAACTTGTTTTTTTCTGACCATTCTTCATTTTGATTTTTCCGGTGAATGAAAATTCTCTGATGAAATTAAGGGGTGCTTCATAGAATTGATGGCATCTTAGAAAAATCACATCTCATCAAATTTAAAAAAAGAAATAACAAAAGTTTTAAAAGAATTGCAAAAACATTTTTCAAGGAGATAGGAAAAGAGTTAACATTTACTTTTATATGAGGTAACGGTCTGCTACACTGAGAATTCGAAGATGTTTGTGGCTCAAGTTTTGGAATGCCAATTTCACTCAAAACTGGCATCAGTGGAGAAGCACAGTTCTGGGATATGTCTTTGGATTCTTCTTCCTCTTTGATTTTTATTTCTTCTTGCAATTTTAAAATTTCTGGATTTTCAACCACTGTTAAAGCTGAAGAAGCTGTATGATTTGTCATGGCCATACTTTTGCCATATAAGCTCTGGTGTAAATGATTCTATAAAAAAATACAAATGTACAGATTATAATGCATAAAATGAAAAGATAAAAAGAAAGTATACACAGAAGCTGCAACAATGAATTCTCAAAATTTTATTCATGATTTGTACCTTTTAAAAACATTTAAATTTCAATTAAAATATTTGTTCCTTTCATTCTTTCATAACACATGATCCAAAATAATTTTCATATTTAATAAGAATTCTAAAATTAAAAAAATAATAATTTTCAAGAAATAAAAACAATTATCACAGTTCAGAAATACATTAATTTTATTCACTGAACTTATACTGTAGATCTAGTAATCTCATAATTATAATTGCTTTATTTATTGTTAAGAAATTTTACCTCTCTTTCAATCTAATATAGTTGTATTTACCTCAGGTATGAGTACACTAATAGCTGGAATACATGTTCACTAAATGTACATTAATATTGTATAAATTAAATGAATTAAGCTTTTTTTTTTTTTTTTTTTTTTTTTTCAATATTTTGCATAGACAAAGACAAAAAAACCCAAAACTGAAAGATTGGTTTTAGTTGATAATTTTCATTATACAATAATGATAATCAAAATTAAGTAAAAAATTATCATAGCCTAGTGATTGGCAGCCTAACTATGACTCAATCATTAATTATGCTGTAGCGATCAAGTGAATATACAACTGGAAAAAATTAATACCACGTGCAGAGAATATTTAAAAAATTTATTAGTAATATCACACTAAGTATAATCTGTATATCACTAACAATAAGCTTAAAATGTTAATTTTCATAAACTCTGCCAAAATTATTTTGATTTAATATAAATTAATTTCTTTTTAAACAGATTATAACATTATAATTAATAATCAAAATCAGAAGCATTTGATGAATATTCGCAGAAATTATGGTGAAAAAATGCATACAAATATGCTGAATGTATAAAAAAATTGTGCTCATGGTTAAACCAGAAAAAAATTACAGGAAGAAAACAAACTAATAAACTCTAATTTAAATACCTTCTCCTCAGCTGTTGCTGGTTTACCAATTTCTTCATCACCGAATCCAATATATGCTACTGTTCCATCCCAAGAACACACAATTAATTGCTTTCCATTTTGACTCCTGATCAATATAAAAAGTAATAAATGTATCCAGCCCTACAGTATATTATTATAAAATCAAAAAATTATACCAAGAAAAGATTTTAATACTTACCACGATATATCTAAAACTGAATTTGAGAAGAGGTCATGGACGACAACCAGAGGCCTTTTCAAGTATGTCAACTAAAAAAATTAATTATTAAAAATTTGCCATGTGAAATAATAATATGAGAAAATACAAGAAAATACAAAACATTTATATAAAACCAAAGAAATAATTTTTTTAAGTTTTATTAACAATATAAAAAAAGTACTTTGGTTGCCCAGCTTTTTCTGAAATTGTAAAAAATACTTTTAAATAAATAGGGGGGAGAGAAAATAGTTACTTAATTTGAAGTTAATATGATGATTTAAAACTCTTAAATTGTTAAATTTCATTTCTGTTGCAAATGCTTATGACACATAAAAGATGCATTTCATTTTATTTCCTTTTTTGTTTCATTCATCAGCAATTAAGATACAAGTACAAAGAGCACAAACTGAAGTCAGGCAATATTAAGTAAAAGTTTTAATACTAATATTTTACCGCTTCCCCACCATGAAATTCATTTCGGCTTAGTAGTAAAAATCACAAGGCTTAACTTAACAATGAAACTTCTGGTTCAGTTTGATAATCGTGAGAAGCATAGAAAGATTTTAGGATGAGGAACACTACCTCCAAAAGAGTGAATTTAATTTTTCCAAAGAACAAAAATATTAGTACATTGGTAATATGCAAATTCTGGCTAAGCATTAGTGATATGTGAAAAGTATGAATGTCTAGAAGTGGGACAGAAATGAAATCATCTGCTTCCAAAAAGTATGGTAATCAAAAAGGTAAAACTTAAATCAAATTTAAGTTCAATACTGATATTGCTGAACTCACATATTTGACATATATAGAGGGTGTTTACACACTTTTGTAACAATTTTGATTTTCTCCATGAATATAAATATTAATTTTTAAAATACAAATGTGACTGGCATCAAGTTCGAATAAAGTTGCATTATCGTCTGCAGCATTAAAAATATTCTTTTCTTTAAAATGTCACTGAAAAATAAACAATGGATTGAAGGCTATATTTTTGCGCTGTCCGAAGAGAAATACTCTTATTCAGTTATTAAAAAAAAGATGTGAAAAGCATGGTTTTAATATTTCCACACATAAAATACGTAACATAATTAATATGAAGGGAAAGAAATGTCAAAGTTTACATCTGACTGAGAAAAAGGCAAAAAATGCATACCCAACAAAGGTACATACAGCTCTTATTAAGTCTAAAATCGCATCTCATGTTTTAAAAGAAAATCTAGCCCCCCAAAGAGCTACTGCAAAACCTTTAAATATCTCTGTACGAACTGTAAACAAAATTATAAAATCTGATTTAAAGTGAATCAAAACAAAAACAAAAAAATTGTTCCTTGCCTAGCACCGAAACATATTTCTCAGCGTAAGACTATGTGCAAACTCCTGCATCGAAATTAATTGGCAAGTGAAAAATAGAAATGTAATAGTTACAATTGAGGATGAGGCTTGGATATACATATCCGATTGCAATAGAAAAAGACTGATTTACTACCAAAAAAGAGAAGATAAAGACTTAATAGGTTGGTTTAGAGAAAACATAAAAAGTTTTTCTAAAAGTTTTATGGTTATTACTGGATTTTCTTACAGCACGGAAAACTTAAAATAAGGAAAGAAGAAAAAATGTCAAAATTAATTTGGATTAGTATCAGAAATATGTTTTAACACCTATTTTTAAAGAAGTAATTCTATCTATTTATCCACACAATCTTCACTGTGTTAAGTTTCCAGAGAGAAATATATATTAGAGCAGTACTCCGCAACGCACAAAAAAAATCTTTCTGGAATTTCGTGGCACACCAAAGAGTTCCGAGTTATCAAGAAAGTGCCAAAAAAATTCAAATGCTGACACACTTACAATCACACACAGAACCACACAACAGTGAAATATATAAAAACATTTAAAATAGGCATTATTAAGGAAAAAAAATGTCATTGTGTATTAAATACATGATAAAAAATTGCAAAATGTCAAATACATGTATTTGATTGCGGCACACCTATATCCTCTCATGGCACACCAGTGTGCCGCGGCACACTGGTGTGCCATGAGTGAGAAATAACTGGTGAGAAATAACACCAAATTGAAGCTTTTTCTTTTTAATGCATCCCACCCAAGTCCTCTGATCTCCTATGGATTACTGTGCATTTGGACTTTTAACACAAGCCCTTTATAAGTGGCATCCCAAAATATTGGAATCAACATGTAATATGATAGTTGAACAAAAGGGATATCAGACTGAACATATTAAAAAATAATGTTCTAGGGTTTGTTTACGTATAAATAAATCTTTGCAAAATCATTACAAAAAATGTGTGAACACCCTGTGTATTGCATTCAATTGGAATTGGCAGTCAGCAGCAAGAAATACAGATTACCATCAGTGTGTTAATGTCAAACATTTTTAGTTGTTTTAGAGAAGATGAACATGTTCACATCATTCAGTGATGGTCACCATATGATGCACTTTGGTGTAGTATAGAAGGACTATTAGTGCATTACAGCCTTCTTTGGCAAAAGTGATGTATACAAATTTCAGAACAAATATCACCATCTTTTATGAATGGCATATTCCTAAGTGACAATTTAATGCATTCTCATCCAGGCATGTATAACAGAGAACTAAGTACTCAGAGAGCACTGACTTTAAGTACTTTAATGACGCCTCACTTGCCAGACTAAAACTCTATCTAGTATTTTGAAAAATATCTAAATTATTTGCAAAGACATGAAATAAACAGTGCTTTATCAAAGAACACCATCGAATATACCATGTCTAATTTGAAATCCCTACAGGTCTGCCAAGATGCTGTATAAAATCTCAGAAGTGACATGTACTTGCATTGCCTTCACCCAGACAAACGTAATATATGAATTCAATTCTTAACTTCTATTTCTCCCCATGCCAGCAAAATAACAAGGATTCAATGATTTCTTCAACTTTCTTATATTTAAAGAAAATGTTCAGCCTGTCTCCCCGACGAAAAGCATAGATGAATTCTGAGGCAAAGTTTGGAACTTAATATGAGGACCAAAATTTGAATCACACCTGTGCCTCCTCCTAAAGGACTTGAAGTAGGATGTTCACTGCATTGGGTTTAATCAACATATAGATCCAACATACTTGACTCATTGATTTATTACAGCTTCAAGACTTCATTTTGATGCCACAGTGAGCTTCCAAAGTTATTCGTGAGCATCATACATACATTTAACAGAAAGTTACATATTTTTATTCATTTGATAGTTTGAAATATCAAAATTTCAGCACATGCAGATGTATCTATGATTCTTCCTTTTCCAGATTATAATAAGTCAATTTGAAATCAAAATTATGTTGGATTAGCTATTAGTGGAGACAGAGATATTTCCAACTTATATGGCAATTATTTTAACTTCCTCTGTTCTGAATATTAAATAATTTAGTATCTATTTTATTAGTATCTATTTATTAAAATTAAATAATTTAGTAAGTGAATCTGGAAAGTATTTGATGCATAAGTCACATAATAATAATACTAAATGATTAGAATGTTGCAAATTCCACTTTTTATTACAAGGTTCTGAAAAACTTTTAAGTTTGACAGACGTAATGACTGACATCCCCTCAGATTTCTAATATGCACAAGACATTATATTCATGCAGAATCAATGCTTTATTAGCCAGACATTTAAATTGTAAAAGTAAATTCTGAAGGATTAAATATAATATTCATAAAATATGTTTTGCTCATAAATACAAAAGCTGTGTCTTTTATTTGGTTGCTAATAGGCATCTTGATCTAATCACTTGTCTTCTAGCTTAGACTGTAATAATTTACTAACCTTTAAACTGCAGTTGATGAAATTAATTATAAAACGTATTCAGAAACAACAAAGAATTATATTTCTTACCCAAACTGATAAAGATCGATCTCTACTACCAATAGCACAGCAACAAAAGTGTTCTACCTATAATAAAAGTGTATGTGAAAAATAATGCTCACTACATGTCTAACATTCATACAGGATAATGAAAAGAAATCTCACATAAAATACTTACTTTTTCGGAATCTTTGCTGATTTTACACAGGATATTAGGATTGAATCTCTAAAATAAAAAAAAGTTATCAGCCTAAATCATATTTAGCATTAAAAAAAAGGCATTAACAAAACATTCTGCTTCTATAACTGTTTTGGATATATATTTTCTCTTTTTTAAAATAAATTAACCTATCTATAAATTATTACAACAATCTAATAATTAGTCAATGGACTTTAACATTTTTTTTTCATTGTTAGGAGTAATTGTGATAAGTATGGCAAGTACCAATTCATTTCCTCGTGGCATATTTATAGTTGGACGTGTTAATTAAAGCATAACAAAATCTGCACCACAAAATTGCAAGTTTTAAAAATACTGTTTAAAAAAATGTATGCTATATCAGAGCCTGAAAAGTCTGATCAAAATGGCTTGGTTTGGGACTCTTAATTGTAATTAATTTGTACAAGATTTACCATAAAAAAGTTTACACAATACCAAAAGCTTTAATCGGTGCAACTGAATTTCATCTACCAGTATCTCAATTCGAAAATGTAGAATAATGCTCATCAACATTTCCTTTGGTAAGTTGAGATCCCTACTTTAGTAGCTGATTTGTTTTTCAGTTTGATTTATTAAATTACAGAAAAGCACTCAAGGGCTATCTGTCACGAAACCGCCCATGCAGCCAGCTATTGGTTTCAAACTCTGGACCATACTATCAGTGTTCAGCAATTTTACTGCTTGTTTGCTGGTGGGCCACTTTAGTAGTTGAAATGGGTTGAATAGCTTGATTATGGAAAGTATATTATGACTATTTGCCTGTTAGAAGTGCTTTCTTGAGAATATTTAAGAAAAACTCACTCATATTCATGTTACATATGAGTAAAAATCAAAAAAATCCTTATGTGGCGAACCCATTCAAAACCAGGATTCAAACACAGGATAAACTGCCACTGCTTCACAAGCTTACACACTTTAGGAGTTGGCAATGAACAAACTGCAGTCAGGCAATTAGATATACAAATAACTCAGTGCTGCCTGAGATAACCACTGACCTGACTTTGTTGTAAAAGTCTTACAGTGTTAATAGTTATCCTGGCAGAAGGAATTATTTCTTCCATATAAAAAAAATGAATATTACATGGGCATACAAGACCTGAGTATAAGCATACAAATATGTTAATTACAGACATTGTCTTGTACAAGTTATATGACATTGTTAGATATAATCATGACAGTTATGTGCACATTTAAACATTATCTGAATACATATTTACAATACTACTACTGAGATAATCAAAGTAAACTTCTAATTCAGTTACACATTGATTGGTGTTTTATGTTATTTTTAACTGCTTTACAACATTAATTTTAACAAGTATATGCAAAATGGATACTAATAAGCTTACATTACAAAAGTTTTTGCTCTTGCAGTCCAGTTACTATTCTACAGGATGAGCTATTTTTTTAATGTTGATTTTTAGTTGTTGTAGTATTAAAACTGGTAAGGAATTAAACTGGGTAGGGAGTTATGTGACTCAATTTTCTGGTACCTTAGCTGATTTGCTTGGAAAAGTTACAAATGCTATTATAGTTGTAGTACCTATCAAGGAAGTATCTTTGTTACTGTTCAAATTACTTGGATATTATTGCAAGAGACAATTACATTAATCTGCTCTGTTATCTGTGAGCTGTCAGTTCAATATACTCCACTTTTGTAAAGCCACTTTGATTTGCTATTGAAATTATGCTGCGAAGATCCAATTCTCAACCGGGGGGGTCTTAATACCTTGCTGAGCATAACCTGATCACCTCTTCCACCTGCAGGTATTCTCTACCCATTGCAGCTAGTATTCACTGCTTGGTGTTTTTAAATGCAATTTATCTGCATGTGGACAGTTGAAAAGGTAGTGATCTGCATGACCTACACCACATTTACATAGTTCTGAGTCTCGTCTGCTGAATCTCTTAAGATAATGTGGGATGGGACCATGGTCAGTGTTGAAATGAGTTTGTGCGCTGCTGTATGTTTTTACTAGGCATGAAACTTTGGGAAAGAACTTGTAGGTTCTCCTTCCTGTGGTTTCCTTTTCCCATTTTTACTGCCATTCTTGTACAAGGCTATTGAACACTTTTTTTTTGGGGGGGGGTAATGAGACTGTGGCACACTTACTGGGTTTACTGATATACTGGAGTCATTGGCTGCAGATTTCGCAAAGAAGTCCACCACTTCACAGCCAGTAACACCCACATGAGCTGGAATCCAGATCAGTTTGGGTTTGTCATCTGGTGGGATCCTTAGGAGAATTTTTTGAATATCTTGCACTAAAGGACTCCTTGACTTATGCCTCAGATGGCCTCCAAACTTGAGGGGAGTCCTTTGCTGCTAATTGATATTTTGCAAAATTGATGGCTGCTTTTAATGCTAGAAGCTCTGTCTGAAAGATAGTATTTTTGCCTTCCAGTCATCTTTCCCAAGTTTTTACTACTTCTCCTTCTTGGAATACACAGTAGTCGCAACCTGTGCTTTTTTCCATCTTTGTACCATCTGTATATATAGCTAGGGCTTTCTCATTTAGTGAGATGTATTGCAAGTGTACTGTGTGCGATAAGTCCGTATCTGTAGGGTGTCCAAGCATAATCAGTTTGTGCTTCTAATAGTCAGTGTGGTAGAATGCCTTCTGCCACAGAGAGACATTATCTTCCATGCACAGTGTCCTTACTAATAATGATTATCTTTCCACTAGAAGATCCAGCGGAGGAATATACTGCCAGCACTTGCAGTGCCCGCAGTTGGGCATGTTCAGCAACATTCGCATATAATCAACAGTTGCATTCTTTGGATGGTGAGAAGCTGCCTCCTCATATGGGCAATGATGCCTCATATGGGCGGTCCTCATATGTTCTTTCCCCACATTGCAGCCCCATATAATACGAGGGCAATCCCAAAAAAAAAAAAGGTTTTGGGGGACGTGGAGAAAGTTTTAATACGTTTGTTGGCAACACTGTTGTGAGTGGTGCCTTTCTCCACTACCACATAAGCATGCAGGCGCTTCGCTCGGATGCTCAGTCTTGGCTTGGCAGCCATTCGAAATGGAGCTTCCGATAAACGTTACCGCCAAGTGCAAAGTGCACGCAGTTTTTGAACACAAAAGGCGTTAAACCAGTTGAAATTCACTCAGAAGGGCAATTCAGAACCGGAGAAGAGGGATGTTGAGCAAGGGTGTAAGCATTCTCCACGACAACGCCCGTCAAACCGTCGATCTCCTGCAAAATTTTGGTTGGAACGTCATCACACACCCACTCTACAGTCCGGACTTGGCACCCAGTGATTTCTACCTGTTCCCTAAGTTGAAGGAACATTTGTCTGGACGGCGGTTCTGCTCCGATGATGAGGTGAAAGATGAGGTTCAACGCTTCCTGAAGGGCATGGCGGCAAGCTGGTATGACATGGGCATTGTAAAACTGCCACAGCATCTGAAAAAATGCATCGACCGAAATGGCGATTATGTTGAAAAATAAAGCATTCTTCAATCTTTAAAATGATGTAGCAATTATAGAAAATAAACTGTTCTTTGTATATATAAAAATATAGGAGACCTTTTTTTTTTGGGATTGCCCTCGTATGATCTTTTCTGAGATTGTTCTGTACCAGCTTTTGAGCATAGTGATTGGAGTGCCACAATGAGGTCCTGTTGTTCTAAACATGGAAGTGCTACGCTGATTTATTTTTTGCTTAAGCTCTTTAATGTGTGGTACTCAGGAAAGCCTATTGTTAATTATATTAGTATATTTAAGGTTGGTGACTTCTTTTATAGAGACTCCATTTACTTTAATGCTAAGATTTCTATTTTGTGCTCCATGTTTACATATAAACAATTGTTTAGTTTTATCTGCAAAGATATGTAATTTGTGCTGATTTGCCCAACTTGCAAAAGTATTGATGGCATTTTGTGCCTTTAGCCTAATATCCATACTACCAAAAATGACCAATAAAATGTCATCCACATACACCTGGGTACCCACTCCTTGCTGTTGGTCATAGCAAGGCTGTGTTCCTTACAAGATTCCAAAGCGTAGATCCCAAGCAGGAACCCTGGGGACAGCCTCTTTCCAACTTGACTCTTTCCATCATTGTCGTTGTAACCTGTATCCAATGATCCTGCAAGTATCTGCATATAAGGTTCAGGATTTCCTATAGGCATTTGACTACGTCTGGCCACCAACCATAACGAGTCGAATGCCCCTTTAATGTAAAATTATATAACTAGTGTGTCTAAATTGTTGCCTTTGTTCTCCTCTATGTTATCTAATAGTTGTTTTAAGTTATGTTATCTAGAAGTTGTTTGTTGTTATCTAGTAGTATCTAGTATTGTCAATGGACTTTCCTGCACAGAAGCTATGTTGTTTTTCATTTATAGTCTTGTTCCTGTAAATGTGGAAATTAATATGTTGTAGAATTACTTTTCTAAAATCTTACTGATTGAAGGCAGTAAGCTTATAGGCCAGTGATGGCTAACCTATGGCACGCATGCCAAAGTCAGCATGCAGAGCCTCATCAGCTGGCACGCGACTAAAATATTACTTCCTTGATCAATAATCACAATAAAATGATACTTTGTAAATTAAATAAGTGTTTTAGTCTGTTCTTGAATGTTTCATTTACTTACTTATTACATAATGTCACTGGTATAGGGCCTAAACCTAGATACAAGATTTTCATATATACCCACAGAAATTATATACATATTTATTGACATAATTTATGATGTTTCAATTGTTTGGCCCATTCATATTACTTGTTACATAGCAAAGAATACGCCAAAGATGAAGCACCTGATATTTACTAAACGAATTCAAATTCATTGCAGACTGCTGGTGAGTTTTAATACTTTCATTGTTAAATAGATTTTCTATACTCCAGGTTTTGAACCCTCACAAATAATTCCAGAAAAAAAGGCAAAATTAAATATTGATAGTGGACGATCATTTCAAGAGACCTGGACAGAATCATTTGGAGTTATTGAACACAATAGGAAAGCATTATGCATTCTATGTGGGAAAAGTGTTGTGTGTCGCACAAGTAGTGTCAGACAACACCTACCAGACCAACGACAAGATTGTTGTCGAATTTGATGAAGCTGTGCGGAAAGTGTTTATTGAAGGGAAAATGAGGAATTATAATTACTAGAAAGTTGGTTTTTGCAATTATCTTTCTAAAATAAACCATCTAACAATGACCGGCTTTCAAATTTCACGGTGCCTGGCAAAACATAACAAACTGCTCTCCGATGGAAATTTAATCTAAGAGATTTGGGGCACGCGGCTCCAAAAAGGTCTGCCACCACTGTTATAGGCCTATATGATGCTGGGTCTGACAGGTCTTTGCTCTGCTTGTGAAAGAGTGCAGTTTCAGTTAGTTTCATGCTTCTAGAGAAATGTACACTGCTCAAAAAAAAAAAAGGGACAGTGCTATATCTCCCGTTCTACTGGGGCGATTGACAAAATTCAAACTACGTTTTTCATGTCTCGAAAGCGCCACTTAGGATATATATTAGATTTATATATAGTACTATTCTAACATAGGTATTTTGACACAAAATCGGACTTTTTCTGAAATAACATACCAATTTTTTTACATATTTCGATTCTACGACTCAAATTATGCAGAATACCAAGTTTGTAAAAATCGTACGATTTAGTTTTTTAAAATATTAGCTCTCAAAATTTTAGCTCCTCAATGTTAATTGAATTTGGCAAATATTTATTAATATCTCTTTTTTTATTAAACTTTTTGATTTTCTCTCATTTCGAAATTTTGGTTCATTCCAAATAAAATTTACCCATTTTTTGCGTTTAATTTTAAATTTTATTTTTAAATAATTTCTATAGATTTTTCGAAAAAAATTTTGAATTATAACCTATAAAATTTTTACCATCATCTTAGAGTAGGTGTATTTTTAAGCATATCTGCAAAAAATTAGACTTTTTACTCAAAATTTTCGAAGATATACACGAATTTACATAATTTCGCGTTTTGAAATTTGGCACCTTTTTTTTGAGCGATAATAACGCCAAATGTGGTCTATGGATTTTTGTTAACACTGAATTGCCACAGCTATTTTTTAACCTTAAACTTCAAGCAAAATTTTACGGAGAATTAATTATATGAACATTTTTTCCCTCAATGATGCAAATAAATATTTATTAATACTATATGAAAGGCTATTTTTTAAATTATAGATGATATTCAAATTTTTAACTATTTTTTTTTTTTTTAATTTCTCTCGTATCTTTTCTTTTTTAAAAAATTTAAGAGTAAGTTTTTGTAAGAGTAAATTTTTACCTTCGGCGTTTATCGTCTGCTACTACTTACTTTGTTTAAATCGAAATTGAATTGTCTAAAACTGAGAATTTTCGTTTGATATTTATTTAATTTTATGACATTAACTGCATAATTTATTTCTAAACAAACTGTTGCTTTTGAAGTGGTGTGCTGAAAGAGCGGCTGATACTATTATCCATATTTTTTTAAAAGCACAATATATTTTTAAAAGAAACATAATATTTAGAATAATCGTTTTTTATAAAAGTCAAATTATGATATAAACATACAACCCTCTAGAGACTGAATTAATGGAAGTTCAATGGTTATGTAGAATGATCTGCAGCTACTTAATGGCTGGATAAGTCAGCAGATTCTGTGGACAAGTAAAGAATAATTATATAACGTCACCAACATTCTGGATTCAATAAACAACGAGGATACGATGTTTACTAAATGAATTAAGAAGTTTTAAAACATAACAAATCAACTTTTTTCTAAAATGTATTTGTGTGCGTAGCGTATTTTTCATTATATCCTTAAAATTCTCATTTAGAATGTAATTGTCAAAACTGAATCCTAACATCAGTATATAATAAGTAATTATTGCTGTTATTAATAAATCCTTCTTATAAAGTAATTGCAAATATTTCAAAAAACTTTCTGTCTGAATGCAAACATTTTTCTATGCAAATATTTTTAATTTTATATTAATCAAGATTGCACACCATATTACTTATTTCCACTTCAATTCTTACCATCAGTTCTAGTAGAATTTACAAATCAATTATATTTAATTAAGGATTGAATTGGATTATTTAATTATGGCAAAGCACACGAGGGATGCCTTCGTGGAGGACTTTCTAAAGGAAACTGTCTCGTATACAAGTTACACATGGGGAAAACCACGATAACACCCATGCGACCAGCCCGTTCACAGGATTCGAAACTCGGACTGAACTACCAGTGTTCAACGTCTTTACAGCTCGGCCACTGGTGGGCAATTTAATTAAGGAATGACCATCTAAGTTTAGAAACAGCGTACAGTAACAGCATTTCAATTATTGGTTCCGTATCTTTCATGTTACTCTCGATTGGCTAGCTACAGGATTTTTAATGAGTATTCGGATTTTACTAGTAACTTCACTTGGAAATCGCGCTTAAACTAGGTTAGTTAGTTATTTGAACATAGAAAGAACATGGGAGCTATTTGATAAGGATGCTTTCATAGAGAATCTTTGTAAAGAGAACCTAAAAAACTACGAAAACCAACCATGCAGTCTGGGTTAGACTGAGCAGCAAACAATTAGTATTTAACAATATTTTCTTTTTCAAATGCTAGGCAACTGATGAGGCTCCAATTAAATCTCCAATTTAATATTTTATTTGTAAATATTTAAAATATGTTGTATTCTTTGACACAAAAGCAGAATTTAAGTTTTCTTAATTCGTTAGTAAACTAGCAAGCCGTAGTGCAAATGAATATTCAATTTCTTGGCATAATTGTATTCACTTAATATTCTTGGAATATGAGCTAAAGAAGGAACGTTCTCGGAAGGTTAAAGAAGTGTTTAAATCAGTGATATTAGGTTTGTCTACAAGCTCAGGATCAAAACGATTCTGCAATTGACCGAGTAGTTTGACTTGTAAATGGATGTGAATTAAGCGGATGACTTTTAATCTTACGTTATTCAGCCAGAAAACGTATTCGAAATGTTTTGTATTGCATGACAATGCATCTTTTCATTATTCAATAACCAGTCGGGAACCAGCTTGTGTTCGGAAAATAAGTATGTATATACATCGTCCTGCATGTTTCTTCAAATTTGTCTTTTTGTCTTTCTCAAAAAACTAAAGTTGCCTCTCAAAGGAAAGTTTTTTTGACATTGAAGAGACAAAATTAATATGACATCTACTTTTAGCGCATGTGAAAAACAGATCTCTACAAACCTTCTCTTCCATTACATGTTGCACAGTCAGACAAAAAGTTACATCAGCGTAAATTCTATAATCTATTTTTATTACACTCTAATACTTTATTAAAATACAGTGAATATATACTAAATCTTTACTTTAGCTTAAGTATTCGGAATTTTTGACGGAATTGTTTTGTCGGAACTAGGACTTAGAAGATAAGTCAAATTAAATATTTCGATAACCCAGTAAATTCAAGTTCGAAATTTTCATATTTTTATTTTCGGAGGGAGGGGAAATGTTTTCAGTTTTGGTCCATTAATAAGTATATTTGCTTCGATTTTTTATTTTTCCATAAAAGCGAAAATTTACGCATGGTATACATGTAACGCATAGCTTCAAATTAAAATTAATAATATACAGAGTGGTTATAATTAAAGTTCCACATTGAAATGGTCATAAAAGGAAAATAACTGGATCAAATGTTATCAAACTTGGAAATCGTGTAAAGGAGGTCCATGGGAATTTTTTTTCCGCGAAAAAAAAGGAAGTTCGAAACCTCGCCACCAGGAAGGGAAATGGCGCTGTATGCAATATTGTTAAGCGAAATATGGGTCGGAATCTAACTTAACCTTTTGTTAAACGGGTTTAATATGTTGTATATCCTTAAGAAACTTTGAAGTAGGCAAATTATATTAAAGACGTTAAATTCGATAAATGTCGAGTGTGCGCCATCCCTGTAAGTGAGAATTTTCGTCCGTGAAAACTACGAATTAGCAATTAGAAAATGTGAGATCGCAAATCACTCTCACAAGTGCGTACAATCTGGAAATCGTTTTCTTACAGATCGCTAATTTGTAATTTTTTAAGCCTGAATTCGGCACTAAAACATGAAGATACTGATTCAAAACGCTTTTAATTGATTTGGGCCAAAGAAATCTCTCATGTTATCTATCTAGTTCCATT